TGCCCTGGAGTTCAATCCCCAGTAGCCACCCCCACAAAAAAAAAAAAAAAAAAAAAGAACTACCATTTTGTTACATTTACTTAGAATCTTTCTTTTTAATGGGAAATAGATTATTTTGATACACAACTAAATTGTTCTTTATTATGCTGGTCACATTTCCTTTCCATTTTCCTTTCTGCTAGAGGCAACCATTTTTGGGGGCTGTTTATATATCCTTCTGATTCATTTTTAAAGAATTTTTTTGTAGTTGAAGATGGACAGTATACCTTTATTTATTTTTATGTGGTGCTAGGGATCGAACCCAGTGCCTCACACATGGTAGGAAAGTACTTTGCTACGGAGGTACAGCCCCAGCCCCTTATTCTCTATTAAAATATTTATTTCTGGGGCTGGAGATGTGGCTCAAGCTGTAGCGCACTCGCCTGGCATGAGTGCGGCCCGGGTTCGATCCTCAGCACCACATACMAACAAAGATGTTGTGTCCGCTGAAAACTAAAAAATAAATATTAAAAAATTCTCTCTTTAAAAAAAAAAATTTATTTCTGTGCTCTTGGGGATCTAACCCAGGCTTTTGTACATAATAGGCAAGTACTCTATCACTGATACAAACCTGGGTATGATGGTGATTCATGCCTATAATCCCAGCAGCGTAGAAAGCTTAGCCAGGAGGATTCAAAGTCAGCCTCAGCACTTTAGTGAGGCCCTAAGCATTTAACTCAGTAGTTAAATGCCCCTTGGTTCAATTCYTTGTACAGGAAAAAAAAAAAGTTTTACAAAAAAGCATTTATCTATAACCAACGCTTAAGGTACAGGGGTTGGTTAGTGTTGATTTTATTTAGATTCACAAGGGTATCTCTACAATATATTCATCACTTCGGTTTTCTTCATTCTGTATGATTTTTCATATCTTTCACTGTTAATATACATACAAATTTAATTTGTACTTGACTGCTAGAGAGTATTCTATTCTATGACTATCACATTTTATATATCTATTTCACAAGCAACAGACATCTGTTTCCAATTTTTGGCTACCATTTTTCATGCTGCAATGAACAGACACGTTATACTCCCTGTGTACATGTGTTAGTGTTTTGGGTATATGTATATATATTTAAAAGTAGAATTGTTGAGTCTTCTGGAATATAATTTAGAAATTCTTTCCTACCCTAAGGTTTTAAAAACACTCTTATATAAAATTTATATTATTGTTTTGCTTTTTGCATTCCAGCATTCAATAGTTTTGGATTTCATAATAAATAAATATTTTAATGAATAATGACAGAGGTCGCTTATTTTTCCAAATGAAGAAATCAATTACCCTGAGATCATTTTTAAAATAATCCCTAAATTTGGGATGCCACCTTTATGAATCACCAATTACCCACAAATTCAGGCTTAATGGATTCAGTACTCTGCCCCAACCTCAATTTTCTACAACTGCATCAACACCAAATACTTTGATTAGTTTTACAAAGTACACATATAGCAAAGCACATAACAAAAAAATAATTGTCTCTCAATTTCAAGTCCTTTTCTCTCATATAGTTGTCTTAATGTATCTCATAGGACTCCCAGAAACATGCTAGTTGGTCTCCATAACTGGATTCTAACTCAACAAGAATGCTCATAAAAGTACAATAATATTTATTGTGGAAGCTTTTTGCCCTGCTACTTCTTATTAAACATCTTTGTATTTTGAGTTGCTGCAGGATTTCCCACATTTTGTGTCACTTTAATGTAAAATGAGTTTTTTGATATTATTAAGTTAAATTCTGATGGAGTTTTTTCTATAACCAAGGCCTTCATAGAGTTTTAATGAGTATGAATTCTCTGGTGTCTAATGTGATGTGACTTCTGGCTGAAAGCTTTCCCACATTCGCTACATTGATAAGGTTTTTCACCAGTATGGATTCGCATGTGTAGAGCAAGAGTTGAGAACTGAGAAAAGGCTTTCCCACATTCATTGCAACCATAGGGTTTCTCACCTGTGTGGCTTCTCATATGTACAGTAAGAGATGAGCTTTGACAGAAGGCTTTCCCACATATTTTACATTCATATGGTTTATCACCTGTATGGATTCTCACATGTACAATAAGTGATGTGATTCGAGAAAAGGCTTTTCCACATTTATTACATTCATAGGGTTTCTCTCCCGTATGAATATTGTGATGTTTAATGAGGTATTGCTTCTGCCTGAAGATTGTTCCACATTCATTACATTTATACGGTTTCTCTCCAATATGAATTTTCTCGTGCTCAGTGAGATTTGATTTGCCACTGAAGGCTTTTCCACATTCCTTACAACTGTATGGTTTCTCTCCGGTATGACTTCTCTGGTGTCTAATGAGGCTTGACTTCTGAATGAAAGCTTTCCCACACCCTTTACATTCATAAGGTTTCTCTCCAGTATGTATTCTCTGATGGATAATRAGGTTTTCCTTCTGGCTAAAGGCTTTCCCACATTCATTACATTTAAAGGGTTTCTTTCCACTATGGATGTTCTGATGTTTAATGAGGTACTGCTTCTGGCTGAAGGCCCTTCCACATTGATTACATTCAAAAGGTTTTTCTCCAGTATGAATTTTCTCATGCTCGCTGAGATATGATTTTCCATTAAAAGCTTTGCCACATTCCTTACATGCATATGGTTTGTTTCCTGTATGATTTCTCTGGTGTTTAATGAGGATTGGCATCTTAACAGAAGTTTTCCCACTTTCATAAGATTTCTCTCCAGTATGATGTTTCTGATGAGAAAGGAAGTTTCTCTTTTGGCCAAAGGCTTTTCCACACTTATTACACTTATAGGATTTCTTTCCCGTATGACTTTTCAAATGTAGAGTAAGTGATGAGACCCGAGAGAACACTTTACCACATTCAGTACATTCATGTGATTTTTCTCCAGTATGCATGCTCCTTTGCTCTATCAAGTTTTCTTTCAGGCTAAAGGTTTTTTTACACTCATAAGGTTTCTGATCAGTATGAATTTCATCATGCTGAAGTAGATCTGAATCAGGCTGAAGACTTTCCAACATTCCTGTCATGCACAGGACAATTCTCCTAGGTTTCCCTTTTTCCTTGTAGCTACTGAAATGCAGTAAGGATGAAAGCTTTTCCACGTTTCACTAAACTTGTGTGATTTCTTTTCAGTATTCTCAGGTATCTAACAAATTTAAGTTAATGATGGAAGATTTTTCTCACACTGATATATCCTGAGATGAGATGATTATAAAAAAGAATGAGATATAGCATTCTCTTTGTATTAATGGTTCTTTTTTTTTAAGTTTTAGGTGGATTCAATATTTTTATTTTATTTTTATGTGTTGCTGAGGATTGAACCCAGTGCCACATGCATGCTAGGCAAGCGCTCTACAACTGAGCCACAACCCCAAGTCAATGGTTCTTTCTTATACTGCTTCTTGCATATTTAAGCATAAATTATGATTCAACTTTTCTTAAACTGAGTCCCATACACAGAAGTGTAGTCTTGAAGAATCAATGCTGTGCTCCAAGGAAATACTATTTTGTTTCCTCAGTCTATATTTTCACAGAGAACAATGAGACTTCACTCTCAAGTCTTTCAYGTTGTATCTTTATTTGTTTATAAACTTCTCAGGTTTATTCTAAAAAAAAAAAAAAATCATTATGGAAAAACAGTTAACAAGTGCCTGTGCCTGGCATGTAGTAAGCATCCAAAAAATTAGCTTATCATTATCAACAACATCACTAACTAGGTAAATTGGTTTTCAAAGTGAAAGCATAGTGAATTTTCCCACAATCATTAATATAATTTTAGAAAAGTGCTTTTAAAATAGACTATTCCAGAGTAGTCATCAGTATAAAAGTTCAAATACATATAACATTCATAGGTATATACATCTTTACTTTTAAATGTAACCCTACACACACCATGAACAGTAAAATAAGAGAAATTGTAAAAACTAGGCAATTATTACAATGAAGGGCAAATAGAAGATTGGTAGAATGTAGGATAAGAGCAAAACATAAAATGAACAGAGAGAATATAAATAAGGCATTTATTTCTACATCTTAATGAAATACCACTAAAATTAAAAAAAAAAAAAGGCGAAGGTAGGCAAATACAAAAACTAAAAGGTTGAGACCCTCAAGTGAACAAAGTATTGGGGGATTCTAGAAGGAAAGGAAATGGAGAACTACAATTCAAGGGGATGAGTAAATGTTTACATATAGAATAGGCTGGATTCCCACAACGTTGGTGGTTGCCAGGTATCTACAGATAAATGGATTCTTTTCTGAAAAAAGGATAATCCAAGGTTGGGGTTATGACTCAGCAGTACAGTGTTTGCCTAGCATGCATGAGGCACTGGGTTCGACCCTCAGCAACGCATAAAAAATAAAATAGGAGCTGGAGTTGTGGCTCAGCTGTAGAGTGCTTGCCTAGCATGTGTGAGACATTGGGTTCGATCCTCAGCACCACATACAAACAAAGATGTTGTGTCTGCCGAAAACTAAAAAATAAATATTAAAAAATTCTCTCCTCTCAAAAAAAAAAAAACTAAAAAATATTCAAAAATAAATAAATAAATAAATAAAGGTATTAAGTCCAACTACAACTAATAAAACCCCAACAAAATATTTTAAAAAGAAGAATCATCCATGAGAATACTTATAGACACTATTTAGAGTAAAAAACAAAACAAAACAAAACAAAAAAAACACCCAGAAGGATTGGGTTTGTGGCTCAGGGGTAGAGCACTTGCCTAGCATGTGTGGGGCACTGGRTTTGATTCTCAGCACCACATATAAATAAATGAATAAAATAAAGGTCCATCAATGTCTAAAAAACAATAAAAAATTTTTTCTATAATTTTATTTTTTAATTTATTTTTTATGTGATGGTGAGGATCAAACCCAGGGCCCCGCACATGCTAGGCAAACGTTTTACCACTGAGCCACAATCTCAGCCCCCTGGGGGGAAAATTATTTTAAATTAAAAAACAAAAACAAAAACAAAAAACAACACCTAGATTCCTAACTGATTGCTGCACAGTGAGGCTCMCAATATAATTGGGCTATGTAGCTCAGTGACAGAGCTTTTGCCTAGCATGCATAAGGCCCTGGATTCAGTCCTCAGTACTAAAAAAATTAAACATTACAATTCATATCACAAAAAGTCAAGAGAAGCAAAAGAAGATTATAGCAATGAAAAATTAACAGAGTTCTAAAAAGAAGTACCTTTGGAAATTAAGTTTAAAAGTTTAATGCATTGGAAAAAAAAAAAGCCTAGGAAATCTCCTGGAATAAAAAGAGAAAGAATGGAAGAAAAGGCAGAAAGTAATAGGGATAGACAGACATGAGTGATGGGAACATGATGAGGTTAAGGGAATAATTCTATAAACTGGGCCCACTGTGCTGACCCCGCCCCCAAACACTTTTGCTTTTTTGGTGATGGGAGGGGTACTGGGAAATGAACCAAGGGACATTCTATCACTAAAGCTTCATCTCCAGGCCCCACCCCGTTGCCTTTGAGACAGGGTCTTGAGAAATTGCTTAGGTTCTCATTCAGTTGTCAAGGCTGGCTTTGAACTTTGCCTCAGCCTCTCCAGCTGCTGGGATTACAGGTGTGCACCACCATGCCTGGCTACGCTTTCACTTTGAAAAGCAATTTATCTGCAGCCCTGTCTAGCTTAAGTGGGCAGGATATGTTAACTCTGGGGAGCCTTTTTATTGTGAGAGGAGGGAGAAAATACTTGGGATTGAACCCAGGGGCACTTTACAAATGAGCTGTATACACAGCTTTTTTTTTTTTTTTTGGAGATAGGGTTTCACTAAATTGCTTAGGGCCTCTTTGCGGAGGCTGGCCTCAAACTAACAATCCTTCTGCCTTAGCCTTCTGAGTTGCTGTGATAACAGGTGTGTACCACCACACCCAGCTCCCTTTTCCTATCCCTTTCTAAAGAACTCATGCCTGGTACACTGAGTGATATGTCTGAAATCTTTCTGGCATACTTACAAAAATCAAGGTTTGAAGAGGGGCCGTTATACTGCCTCAATTTCATGGAAGGCCCAGCTCTGTAATGAAAGGAATAAAGAGAGTAATGATGGGACGGTCCAACAACTATTTTGAGTAGAAAGGAAATCTGAACAAAAATGAATGCAGGGGGCTGGGATTGTGGCTCAGTGGTAGAGCGCTTGCCTAGCATGTATGAGGCACAGGATTCAATTCTCAGCACTGCATATAAATAAAATAAAATAAAGGTATTGTGTCCATCTATAATTAAAAATTTTTTTTAAATGAATGCAGGAAATTTTCAAAGAATACAAGAAAATCTGTCAGAATTACAGATCGAATCTATGTATTGAACAGGCCCACTAAGTACAAAGAACATTCCATTTAAAAGGAATCTACCTTGGCTGGGCACAGTGGCACACACCTGTAATCCTAGTTGACTTTAAAGCTCCTATTCATTATACCTACAGCGTTGGACTTGAAGACCTTGAAATTGAACCCATCTATAACTATATAACTAGAGACAGTGCTTTTTTTTTTATCTAGCTGCAATTTGAGGCTCACATGTGCTAATCAACAAAGTATATATATAATTAATGATCTACCTTCACCAAAAAAATAGACCCAAAAAACTATCTTTGCATTTAAACCTGGTTACTATAGTATTTTAATTATCAATATTATCATTTCTGTGTAAAAACTGTTATTAGCATCAGTTTCTGTTTTCATTTGTTTGCTTTCAGAAGGCCTGATATACTGATACCCAACTTTCTGTAAAGAGCCTTTTTCTTGCTCTCTCCCAAAACATTTGTTTCTCATCCTTCAACATCATCCCGATCTTTCTGTCAGAATTTTATCCTTATTTTCTCATAAACCATTTTAAGAACTGAGTCTGGTAAATGCACTGTCACTCATATTAATGCATTAACTTTCATAATTTAGAGAAAAAAATGGCCTCAACCCATTCACATATCATAAGTGAAAATTCATTTAAAACAAATCATGGATCTAAAACACTACAACTATTAAAGTAAAAGAAAAAAATGATAGATTTGGGCTGGGGATGTGGCTCAAGCAGTAGCGTACTCGCCTGGCATGCGTGCAGCCTGGGTTCGATCCTCAGCACCACATACAAAGATGTAGTGTCCRCCAAAAACTAAAAAATAAATATTAAAAAATTCTCTCTCTCTCTCTTTAAAAAAAATGATAGACTTCATCAAAAGTTCAAAACTAATGCTCCTGAATTACAAGCAACAATAAATGTTGGCGAGGACATGGGGAAAAAGGTACACTCATACATTGGTGGTGGGACTGTAAATTGGTGCAACTACTATGGAAAGCAGTATGGAGATTCCTAAGAAAACCTGGAATGGAACCCCCATTTGACCCGCTCCTAGGTTTATACCCAAAGGACTTAAAATCAGCATACTATAGAGAGGCAGCCACATCAATGTTTATAGCAGCTCAATTCACAATAGCTAAACTATGGAACTAACCTATGGTGCCTTTTGACAGATGAATGGATAAAGAAACTGAGGTATAGGGCTGGGATTGTGGTTCAGTGGTAGAGTATTCGCCTAACCTGTGTGAGGCCCTGGGTTCARTCCTCAGCACTACATAAAAATAAACAAAATAAAGGCAATGTGTCCAACTACAACTAAAAAATAAATATCAACCCCCCCAAAAAACCTGAGGTATATATACACAATAGAATATTATTCAGCCTTGAAGAATGAAATTATAGCATTTGCTAGTAAACGGATGGAACTGGAGAATATTATACTAAGCAATATAAGCCAATCCCAAGAACCAAAGGCTAAATGTTTTCTCTGATATGCGGATGCTAATTCATAATGGGGGCAGGGTCTAATTCAGAGCTAAATGAAGGGAGGGGCAGAGGTATGGGGGTAGGAATGATAGTAGAATGAATTGGACATTATTATCCTAATGCATATATGATTACACAACCTGTACAACTCTACATCATGTACAACCAGACGAATAAGAAGTTACACTCCAGGCTGGGGATGTGGCTCAAGCAGTAGCATGCTCGTCTGGCATGCGCAGGGCGCTGAGTTCGATCCTCAGCACCACATTAAAAAAAAAAAAAATAGTAAAACTAAAGATGTTGTGTCCATCGGAAACTAAAAAAAAAAAAAAATATTAAAAATTCTCTCTCTCTCTCTCTCTCTCTCAAAAAAAGTTATACTCCATCTATGTACTATGAATCAAAATGCACTCTACTGTCATGTATAACTAATTAGAACAAATAAAAGAAAAAGATGGAAGAACATTATAAAACAACAACAACAAAACTAATGCTCCTCAAAAACAGTGAAGAAAATGAAAGGGCAAGCCATAAGCTGGGAGAAACTTTAATCTTGAAAAATACACAAACCAACCCTGGCTGGCTGCATGGAGGAAGAGGAGCAGAGCGATAAACAAAATTTAAAAGAATTTACAAAAAGAAAGGCTGCACTGCAGAACATTCTCAGCCAAATATTCCATGAGGAGGAAATGAAAAACAACAACGAGGAACATCAGCAAAGGGAAGAACTACACTAAAGGAAAAGCCAATCAAAGAAGAAACCAAGTTAAAAAAAAATAAACCAAAATGACCAGGAATACAAATCATATTTCAATAATAAACCTGAATGTTAATGGCCTAAACTCATTAGTTAAAAGACATAGACTGGCATATTGGATTAAAAAAAAAAAAAAAAAAAGACCCAACAATATGCTGCCTTCAACAGACTCATTGCATAGGAAAAGGATGGGAAAAAACAATCACTCAATCACTCACATGGACCATGTAAACAAGCAGGAGTTTCCATGTGCACATCAGATAAAGCAGACTTCAAACCAAAGTTAGTCAGAAGGGATAAAGAAGGTCAATTCATACTGCTTAGGGAATTATACATCAACAAGACACAATAATAATAAATATCGATCCCCCAAACAATGCAGCATCCACATATATCAAACAAACCCTTCTAATTTCAAGAATCAAATAGACCACAACACAATAATACTGGGTGACTTTAACACACCTCTTTCATTACTGGATAGATCTTCCATACAAAAAATAAACAAAGACACTATAGAACTCAATAATACAATCAATAATTTAGACTTAACCAGCATATATAGAATACTTCATTCATCAACAAGTGAATATATTTTTTTCTTAGCAGTGAATGGATCCTTCTCTAAAATAAACCATGTTATTCCACAAAGCAAGTCTTAGCAAATATAAAAAAAACAGAGATACTACCCTGTATTCTATCAGACCATAATGGAATAAAATTAGAAATCAATGATAAAATAAAAAATAGAAGCTACTTCAACATCTGGAGACCAAACAATAGCTACTGAATGATGCATGGATAACAGAAGACATCAGGGAGGAGACTTAAAAAAAGAAGAAAAAGTCAACAAATAAACAACCTGACATTTCATCTTAAAGCCTTAGAAAAAGAAGAACAAACCAATTCCAAAAGTAGAAGGCAAGGAAATAATCAAAATCAGGGCTGAAATCAATGAAATTGAAACAAAAGAAACAATTGAAAAAATTAACACAAAACAAAAAGCTGGTTTGTTAAAAAATTAATAAAATTGATAAATGCTTAGCCACCCTAAGGAAAAGGAGAGAGAAAACTCAAATTGCTAAAATTCGTGATGAAAAAGGAAATATCATGACAGACACTACTGAAATACAGAAGATAATTAGAACTACTTTGAAAATTTACATAGTAAAATAGAAAATCTCAAATAAAATAGTAAAATAGAAAATCTCAAATACACGGACAAAATTTCTAGAGGCATATGATTTGCCCAAACTGAATCAGGAGGACATACACAATTTAAACAGATCAATTTCAAACATGGAAACAGAAGACACCATGAAAAGCCTCCCAATCAAGAAAAGCCTGGGACCAGATGTATTCTCAGCCAAGTTCTATATGACCTTCAGAGGAGAATAAATACTGATACTTCTCAAATTAGAAATAGAAAAGGAAGGTACCCTTCCAAACTCATTCTATGAAGCTACTATTACCCTGATGCCAAAACCAAAGACACATCAAGAAAACTTCAGACCAATATCCCTGAAGAACATAGACCCCAAAATTCTTTAAAAAAAAAAAATATTTATTTTTTAGGTATAGATGGACACAATACAATGCCTTTATTTTTTATGTGGTGCTGAGGATCGAACCCGGGTTCTGCCAGTGCTAGGCGAGCGTTCTACGGCTGAGCCACAATCCCAGCCCCATTTTTWAAAATTTTTTTAGTTTTAGGTGGACACAATATCTTTATTTTATTTTTATGTGGTGCTGAGAATCGAACCCAGTGCCTCATGCATGCTAGGCGAGCATGCTACCACTTGAGCCACATCCCCAGCCCTCCAAAAATTCTTAATAAAGGCCCATGTGGTGACACATACCTGTAATTCCAGTGGCTCGGGAGGCTGAGGCAGGAAGATTGCAATTTCAAAGCCAGTCTCAGCAAAAGCAAGGCACTAAGAAACTCAGTGAGACACTGTCTTTAAATAAAATACAAAATAGGGATGGGGATGTGGCTCAGTGATTGAGTGCCCCTGATTTCAATCCCTGGTGCCAAAAAGAAAAAAAAAATTCTGGCAAATTGCATACAAAAACATTAAAAAGATAGTGTACCATGATCAAGTGGGATTCATCCTAGGGATGCAAGGTTAGTTCAACATATGGAAATCAATAAACGTAATATATCATATCAGTAGACTTAAAGACAAGAATCACATGATTATCTCAATAGATGCAGAGAAAGCATTTGACAAAATACAAAACCTCTTCATGTTCAAAATACCAGAGAAACTAGGGATAGTAGGAACATATGTCARTATTGTAAAAGCTATGTACGCTAAGCTGGAGGCCAACATCATTCTAAATGGAGAAAAGTTGAAAGCATTCTCTCTAAAAACTGGCAAGACAGGGATGTCCTTTTTCACCACTTCTATTCAACACAGTCCTTGAAACTCTAGCTAAAGCAATGAGACAGACAAATGAAATTAAAGGGACGCTTA